TGGGCAGGTCAGGTCGTGGACGATCCCCTTGCTGTTCACGAAGTCGGTGAACTGCTTCCCGAGGAACTCCCCTCCTCGGTCAGAGCGCAGCATCAACACCGACTTCTTCGTCGGCCGCTCAGCCACCGCCAGCCACTGCACGAACACCGGCAACGCATCTGACTTCTTGGCGACCGGCTTCACCCACACATTGCGGGTCTTGCGGTCCTTCAGCAGCAAGAAATGCAGGCTGCCATCTTTGGCAGCCACGCGGAACGGCCCGCACAAGTCGATGTGCACGACGGCCAGCATGTCGTCGGCGTCGGAGCCTTTGTCGGGGAAGGTGTGGCGCGTTAGCTTCCCGGTGACGCACGAAATACACGGGGAGTCGGCGTCGGACGCCGACTTGAGGTCCAGCCCGGTGGCGACCTCGTGCTCCACTGAGCTGCGGATGGTGTCCAGATCGGCGTGCGCAAGCCTTGCGTGCATCCTGTCCGGCGTTGCCTTCGTCGCCGAGACGATCGCGCGCAGGGCCACTACCTCCGTGGTAGGCATTGTCGGCGTGGCCGAGCAAGGGCGCAGGTCAGTGCAGAGGAGACGCCTGGTGTACGTCGCTTGACCGAGCACCTCCCCTGCTACCGAGACGAGCAGCATCTCGTCGCTGTCCTCGTGCAACTTCACGCCGTGCTCCTTTAGCTGGCCGGCTGAAAGCAGGTTTTCCCGGACGCTGGGTACGTAGAGCACATCGGGGATGAGCACCTGCTTCCCATCCTCCCCTTGCAGAGCGACAGTGCCTGGCCCTGAACGTCCTAGAGCGCCCCATTGAAGTCGCGCACGTGCTTCACGTCGCCGCTCGGCCCCAAGTCGACGAAGGCCTCCTTCGTCCCCATCAGGTGGTTCGAGCAGCCGCTGTCGAGCAGGACCACCTCTGGGTTTGCCTGCATAGCTGCTGCTACCGTCGGGAAGTCCTCACCGGCCTCCGGCGCCAGTGAGACGGTCGGCTCCACGACGCCGACCAGCGAGCACGACGCCGCCTTGTCGTCTCGCCCCTTGCCGCCTGCAGAGGAGTCGGCGTCCGTCGCCGAGGCCGACTTGCTCGACTGCTTCTCCTTGCGTGGCTTGTTTCCTCGACGTGGAGGACGGCTGGCCGACCTCCTGCGGCCTCCCTTAGCGTCGTCGTCCTCGGAATCGCTGCGGTCGGGACACTCGAAGGAGAGGTGGTCGAGGCTGTGATAGATCCAGCACTCCCGGCGGCGACTTCCTCCTCCGCGACCGCTATGCTTGGCCGACTTCTTCTTGTCGGCGTCCTTGCTCGGCTTCCAGCCACTGCTACCGCTGCCGCCCGACTGCCCATGCTGCCCTGGTCGGCCTCCTGGCTTCGTCGGGGCGACGAAGTTGGCCTGCGCCAAGAGCTCTTGGGATCGCTCGGCCTCCTGCATCGCCTCGTCCTTCAGGATATACGAGGTCAGGTTATCCTCGTTGAGCATCATCCTCGTGCTCGGCGCCATGGACAGCCGCTTCAGGAGGTTGTAGCTGCTCGAGAGCCCCTGCATGACATGGGTGACGTACGACGCCGTCGAGTACTAGGCGCCGGCCATCCTGATGGTGGCGAGGATTCGCCGGGCCCGGTTGCAGTAGTCGGTCGCCGTCTCCTCGTCGCCCATGCGCAAGTGCATCAGCTGTCCCTCTAGCTGGGCGATGAACAAGTCGTCGGTGACTTGATAGGTCGACTCGATGAAGTTCCACGCCCCGTGGCCCGCGTCGAGGTACTCTCGGCACCACTTCAAGGCGATCTGCACGCCCGGCGAGCAGCACCGCGAGATGACCGTGAAGGTCAACAACTGCACGGCGCAAAACTCCGCACGCAGGTCGGGGTGGTGCTCCCCCGGCGTCGCCACAGTCCCTCGGGCGAAGCCGATCAGCCCGGCCATCTCCAGCTGGGGCTCGATGGCTTCCTTCCAGGTGAGGATGTCTTGTCGACCAACGAGCGGTGGGGTGACCGAGATCCTATCCGGCGTAAAATTGAAGTAGCCGTAGCTCGGTGAAATCCCGCCCGCCGTCACCTGGGTCGCCGACATTGGTGACAATTCACTTCGACGCCCACCGGAGCCGCCCTGCGAGGAGCTTGCAGCCACCGACGACTGCATCCCTCGCGCCTGAACGTCGCCGGCTTCACCTGCGTGTATCACACCTCTCTGCCTCGACGTGTCTCCCGCACTGCTGCCGACCTGGCCTCCACCGGCGTTGACGCCCACGTCGACGCCGCCATCGTCGTTCACCGGTCGAGGAGAGGCAGGGCGAGAAGGGGGGTGCTCCACCGCCCACATGGATCAGAGTCCTGCCTCGACGACTGCCCAGGGTATCACCCCGTACTCCTGGGCCTCATGGCATCTCCTCGCATCCTCCAGCCGTCCCTTGAGGGTGTCCATCACCTCGGCGTCGCCTACGCGCACGCTAGTGACTACACAGCTGCCGGTCTACGAACACGATCGGTAAGTCAGCTAGACTGAACTACACCGCGGTGTCGTCCACGCTCACCGCACCATGCGGAGATAACTGCTGCAACGGGAGCTAGACTACGCGCTAGGCACGTGTGCTCGTGTGATCTCTGCGTTCGTTCACTTAGTCGTTTCCTTGTGTTCACGCTGCTTGCTAGGTCACGGGGAGATTTGGCAGGAGTTTCACTAGGAAAACATGACAATAATGGTAGCAACAACATTGGCATCACAGACTACATCAGTGCTAGCTAGGCTGCTGGTCGACCTCCAGCGCAGCACGGTCGAAAGCGCTCCAGCGCAGCAGCGCTCGTACCGCTCCAGCGTTGCAGAGTAGCAGTTCGCCAACGTTGCAAGTCCACGGTGTGCCAACGCTACAACAAGTCGGCTGCACAGCGTTGCACCCGCTCCCGTTGACACTCCTACCCCGTGCCACCCGTTTTAGGGTTTGGGGGTGGGGAGTGTGGGGGTGACGGTTGTGGGGGTGCCGGTTGTGTGCGCCGTCCCCTGCTCCTCCTCCTCCTCCGTCTCCCACTACTGCAGTTGCCGCTCAGGGGGGTGGGTGTGTGGGAGCCGAAGGAGTGGTGCTAGGGGGGTAACGTGGGAGTGGAGTTAGGGGTTCAGCAGGGGGTGTGTGTCAAGGGTGTGGGTCAGTTGGAGGAGGTTGTGTGGAGGTAGCTGTCGTGTCGCCTGCAACGCCTGTAGTCCGTCGCCCTTGCTTCGGTAGCCAGTAAGCCTGTTGCACCAGTCGCCAGTGGGTCCGTTGCTCCTGCCGCTAATCTATAGCCGCGGAGCCAGTCACTCCAGTTGTCCATCGCCCTTGCTTTGGTAGCCACTGAGTCAGCCACTCCTGTGCCCGTGCCTCTGCAGCTTCAGTCGTTGCCTCCCATCTTCTCTCCGTCCACAGTACTCTCCTCCTCCTCACTTGCCCTCTGTGATAGCCTCTAGCTTTGCTTGCCATTGTGAACCTGCTCTATGACTGTATGCTGTGCTGATTACACCCCACTTTGGCTATGGGGGTGTGTCAGAATGTTATTATCTAGCCTGTAGTGGGGTGCTCTATAGCGAGTACAACCCTATTAGGGTTTGCTATATGTATCCCAACTACTGCTAGTGAAACTCCTCCTTTCTTCATTTCTCTCTTGCCTAGCTAGCTAAACCCTAGCTATGGCTCCTCACTGTGCTTACTATCTCAACATCCTAGACCCACCATGGCCTGTGGGCGTGCCTAAATGGAGTTCTGGAGGTTGGATGTGACTTCCGCTAAGGGGAAACTCTGCCGAAATTTCGTTGGCGCCGAAACTTGTGGAAATTGTGTGGGACTTCGGTGTGGACAGCAAAGGGGGAGCTAGAACCTGTGATTGGGAGCAGAGGAGATGAGTCAAGGGAGTGGAGAAGCAGCTGAGAAGAGGAGTGAGCCGCCACCTTCCAAGATTGAGGCGTTGGATGGCTCCAACTACGAGGAATGGAGCGGGTGGATACGGAGCGCCTTCAAGCGCTATAAGCTGCTGAAACTCGCGATGGGAGAAGAGAAGATGCCGGAGGAAGGAGATGCCCGCGATCAATGGATTGAGAAAAGCGCGGAGCTGTATGACTTGATTATACAGTAGGTCAACAACGACATGTTCCAGCACATCAAGGATTTGGTGGAGTTCGATGACTCGGGACCAAAGGCGTGGAAGCTGCTACGTGACGTGGTTCAGCCCAACACGCTGCCGATGGTGATCGTATTGGAGAAGGAGCTGGCTGCCCTATCCATGCGGCCGGGAGACGATGTGAAGCGGGTGCTTGATAAGGTCAAGGACACCTATGCGAGGATGGCAAGGTATCGGAGATGCAGCAGTTGTCACAATAGTAGAAGGTGGGGCCTAGGCTTAGTAGCCTAGGCCCACACTAGGAGGTAGGCAAGGTGAGTTCGAGTAGGTTTCTCCTAGGGGAGAGTATCGAGAAATTGGAAGGGAAGGGGTTTCACTAGCAAGAGTTGGGATACAAGTACAAAGCCCCAAATTGGGTTGTACTCATTACAGAGTACCCCACTGCAGGCTAGACAGCAAATATATTCTGACACACCCCCATAGCCAAAGTGGGGTGTAATCAGCAGAGCAGGCAAAGTAGTACAAGCTCAGGGTGGATCACAATGTCACCACACATTCTGAGCACAAGTTAAAGAAGCAATAGTTAAAGTGCACAATTATTAGCAAAGCTAGTGGTGGTCACAATGGGCAAGTGAGGAGGAGGAGGGAGAGTGAGAGAAGAGGAGATGGGAGGCGACTGCTGAAGCTGCAGACACACGGGCAACAGGAGCGGCTGGCACAGTGGCTACCGGGACAGCGCCCCGGACTACTGGAGTAACTGGCTCGGCGGCTACGAAGAGCGGCAGGAGCAACGGACCCACGGGCGACAGGCGCAGCAGGCTCACTGGGCTACCAGGACAGCGCCCCGGACTACAGGTGCTGCGGACTACAAGACGGCAGCCTCCGCTCAACCTCCCACAAACAGTCCCACCCCCCTGACACACACCCGCTGCTACACCCCTAGCTCCACTCCCACGCACCCCCCTTAAACCCTAAACCCCAATCTCCCACACAACCACCCCCCTCAGCGACAGCTGCAGCAGTGGGAGACGACGGAGGAGGAGAAGGAAGGGGCGACACAAACGGAGCACCCCCACACCCGCAAACGGGGGGGGGGGGGGGGGGGGGGGGGGAACAGTGCGCACGAGGGCGCAGACAGTAGCAGAGCGCACGAGGGCGCGAGCACGAGGCACGGGCAGCAACAGGCACGGGCAGCACAGGCACGGGCAGCACAGGCACGGGCAGCACAGGCAGCACAGGCACGGGCAGCACAGGCACGGGCAGCACAGGCACGGGCAGCAACAGGCACAGGCAGCACAGGCACGGGCAGCACAGGCACGGGGAGCACAGGCACGGGCAGCACAGGCACGGGCAGCACAGGCACGGGCAGCAACAGGCACGGGCAGCACAGGCACGGGCAGCACAGGCACGGGCAGCACAGGCACGGGCAGCACAGGCACGGGCAGCACAGGCACGGGCAGCACAGGCACGGGCAGCAACAGGCACGGGCAGCACAGGCACGGGCAGCACAGGCACGGGCAGCACAGGCACGGGCAGCACAGGCACGGGCAGCACAGGCACAGGCAGCAACAAGCACAGGCAGCACAGGCACAGGCAGCAACAGGCACGGGCAGCACAGGCACGGGCAGCAACAGGCACGGGCAGCACAGGCACGGGCAGCACAGGCACGGGCAGCACAGGCACGGGCAGCACAGGCACAGGCAGCACAGGCACAGGCAGCAACAGGCACGGGCAGCACAGGCACGGGCAGCACAGGCACGGGCAGCACAGGCACAGGCAGCAACAGGCACAGGCAGCACAGGCACGGGCAGCACAGGCACGGGCAGCACAGGCACGGGCAGCAACAGGCACAGGCAGCACAGGCACGGGCAGCACAGGCACGGGCAGCACAGGCACGGGCAGCACAGGCACAGGCAGCACAGGCACAGGCAGCACAGGCACAGGCAGCAACAGGCACGGGCAGCACAGGCACGGGCAGCACAGGCACGGGCAGCACAGGCACAGGCAGCAACAGGCACAGGCAGCACAGGCACGGGCAGCAACAGGCACGGGCAGCACAGGCACGGGCAGCACAGGCACGGGCAGCACAGGCACGGGCAGCACAGGCACGGGCAGCACAGGCACGGGCAGCACAGGCACGGGCAGCGCAGGCACGGGCAGCACAGGCAACGGGCAGCACAGGCACGGGCAGCACAGGCACGGGCAGCACAGGCACGGGCAGCACAGGCACGGGCAGCACAGGCACGGGCAGCACAGGCACGGGCAGCACAGGCACGGGCAGCGCAGGCACGGGCAGCACAGGCACGGGCAGCAACAGGCACGGGCAGCACAGGCACAGGCAGCAACAGGCACAGGCAGCACAGGGACAGGCAGCAAGGGCACGGGCAGCACAGGGCAGCACAGACACGGGCAGCACAGGGCAGCACAGGCAGGGCAGCACAGAGCGTACCGGGTCCAGGGGCGGTAGCTGCTGCAGGCGCTGGCGGCGGCTGCTGTTGCAGGCTCTGGCGGCGGCTGCTGCGGCAGACTCTGGCGGCGGCTGCTGCTGCAGGCTCTGGCGGCGGTTGCTGCTGGCTCTGGCGGCGGCTGCTGCTGCAGGCTCTGGCGGCGGCTGCTGCTGCAGGCCTGGCGGCTGCTGCTGGAGGCCTGGCGGCGGATGCTGCTGCAGGGCGGCGGCGTCTGTTGCTGCAGGCCTGGCGGCGGCTGCTGCTGCAGGGCGGAGGCGTCTGCTGCTGCAGGCCGGCGGCGGCTGCTGCTGCAGGATCTGACGGCGCCTGCTGCTGCAGACCCTGGCGGCGGCCGCTGCTGAAGACCCTGGCGGCGGCTGCTGCAGCAGGCTCTGGCGGCGGCTGCTGCTGCAGACCCTGGCGGCGGCTGCTGCTGTAGGCCTGGCGGCGGCTGCTGCTGCAGGGCGGCGGCGGCTGCTGCTGCAGGAACTGACAGCGCCCCGCGGGTCCCGCATGGGGCGTCGCGACGAGCAGGGGCGACGCCCCGCGGGTCCCGCACGGACGTCGCGACGAGCAGGGGCGACGCCCCGCGGGTCCCGCACGGACGTCGCGTCGAGCAGGGTGACGCCGTGCGGGTCCCGCACGGGCGTCGCGACGAGCAGCGGGGAGGGCAGCGCGCAGGCCCCCCGAGGGCGCTTCGACGGACGGGAAAACCGCCGCGCGCCCCGAGCGCACGGCGGGATGAAAAACTCCGAAACCCTAAAAAAATTTCGCCGCGGAAGAAGGACTGCAGCGGAAGTATAGGGGCCCACAGGCCAAGGTAGAACGGGCTCTGATAACATGTCACAATAGTAGAAGGTGGGGCCTAGGCTTAGTAGCCTAGGCCCACACTAGGAGGTAGGCAAGGTGAGTTCGAGTAGGTTTCTCCTAGGGGAGAGTATCGAGAAATTGGAAGGGAAGGGGTTTCACTAGCAAGAGTTGGGATACAAGTACAAAGCCCCAAATTGGGTTGTACTCATTACAGAGTACCCCACTGCAGGCTAGACAGCAAATATATTCTGACAGCAGTGCACCAAGATCATCTCGGTGCTCGAAAACTCGTGGGACAACCTTATCCCCAGCCTCAACGTTCAGCAGGACAAGTGGACGCCTGATTGGCTACGGCAGCAGATCCTGCAGGAGGACTTCCACAGGCGCCACACGGGAGGTGGTGCTGCCAATAAAACTGCTGAGGGGTATGGAGCTGCAGGAGGCAGCAGAGGAAGAGGGGGTGGGAGAGGCCGAGGCCTAGGGAGAGGCTTTGGCAGAGGGAAAGGCCGAGGTGACTACAATGAAGGGCATGGGAGCTCTGGAGGCAGGGGGAGCACCCGAATGGAGGGTGCGTGCTGGTATTGCAAGAAGGCTGGACACCCGTGGTTCAAGTGTTTCAACTGGCCTGAGGGATGGGCGCCTCCAGGCATGAAGCCGCCAAGTGGTGAACGTGCAAGAGGTGGCGATGTGCAAGGTTCAGGTGCACAAGGTGATAGTGCACAAGGTAAAGCTGACCCTGGGATGTTCCTCATGGTTGAGGATGTGAAAGGGAGTGAGGGTGATGTGGGCTCTGTTGGGAAGGTTGTGATGCACCCCCTCACTCACTGGGTGATCGATTCAAGTTGCACAAGTCACATGACCCCACGGGCAAATTTGCTTGACAAGGTAAAACCCCCTCGGAAGATAAAGTTTGTGGCTGCCGCTTTAGGTGCTTTGCTCCCTGTGATTGGTGTTGGGAATGCCAAGGTAATGGGAGCCAAAGGGGAGCTTGTGGGGCTGGGGAATGTGTTGCTGGTAGAAGGTTTGTCCGCTAACCTCCTATCTGTGCGCCGGCCGCAGAAAAGCAAGGCCAAAGTGACCTTCGGCCCAACCAGCTGCCGTGCAAAGCTTTGGAAGTTGCTGCTGTGGGATTTGGAGGAGAGCAGCTGCATCAAGGACCTATGGCAGCTGCCCATCATTCCTTGGAATGGGAAACCACTAGCAATGGCAACGGCAGCAGCAATGGCTAAAGCAACTGTGGGAGGAGAGGAGACTGCACCAACTGATGGGGCCCTGGGTGCAGTCAAGAAGGTGTAGCAGCCACATGGTGAGGTGCTTGCTGGTGTGGATGGGAGCGTTGCATGGGCAAAGGCTTCGCCTGGGAGTGGTGAGGCCGATTGGGAGACATGGCATGAAAGGCTATGCCATGTGAATCTTCCTATGTTGCAGAAGTTGGTTAAGGATGGGAGCTTGAAAGAGATGGAGGTGAAGGGGGCAGCGAAGGAGATTGGGAGCTGCCCTACATGCATTGAGACCAAATTCACAAAGTTTCTCTTCAGCAGCAGCAGCACTGGACCACCCAAGGCTCCACTTGCGCTTGTGCACATGGATGTGGTGGGCCCCACGAGGGCCCTTTCTCTCTCGGGCAGCCGCTACTTTCTGACCATTGTGGATGACCATTCGCGTGCGGTGTGGGTCTACCCTTTCCAGACTAAGGGGGAGGTGGCAGTGGCTGTTCTTAAGGAGTGGATGCCGAGAGCTCAAAGGGAGAGCGGAAACAAAGTGAAGGTGATCCGCACTAACAACGAGGGAGAATTCATTGGCGCTGATTTGGAGGCGGTGCTCAAGATGAAGGGGATCCAACATCAACTCTCGGTGCCCTACAACCCTCAGCAGAACGGCATGGCTGAGCGGTTCAACCAGACCCTGCAGATAGGTGCTCGCACTCTTCTTGGGCGTGCAGGGCTGTCGGATCCGTTCTGGGTGACTGCACTGCGGCAGGTCGTTGTTGTGAAGAACCGGATATTGGCGACTGTGGGGGACAAGCAGTGGGTCCCCTACACGAAGTGGTATGGGAGTGCACCAGCAGACAACATGCTGAGAGCCTACGGCTGCATGGTGGTGTTTCATGTGCCGAAGGAGAAGAGGGGAAAGCTTGAAGCTTCTGGGAGATGGGGTGTGCACTTGGGGCTTGCTAAGGATCACAAGGGCTGGTTGATATGGGACTTGACCAGCCAGCAGCTGACCATGTCGAGGGATGTGAAGTTCCTCGAGTCCTTATACTACAAGGAGTGGAAGCAGCAGCAGCAGAAGCTCCCTACTACACCACTGATCATTGAGGCTGATGAGGTGCAGCAGACTTTGAGGCAAGTGCAGGTCACTGTCTCAAAGGATGAGATATTTGGGGTGACTGAGGGTGGGGGAGAGCGTGAGGTGGAGGAGCAGCAGCAGCAGCAGCCGCAGCAACAACAGCAAGGTGCTCCACAAGGTGCCGCACGTCCAGCTGACCGTCCTAGGAGGGATGTGCGCCCTCCTAACCGGCTGACCTATCCAACTCCTAACCGGCAAGCCAAAGGTGGTACGGGCTGGGAGTGTGGCTGAGCAGTGTGATGAGGATGAGATAGCACACTGCTATTGGGCAGCCGTCCCTGAGTCCAAGTCGTTAGCCGAGGCATTGAGCGGGCCCGATGCTGAAAAGTGGAAGCAGAGTGTGAAGGAGGAGTATGATTCTCTGTTGGAGAACGAAACGTGGGAGCTGTGTGAGCTACCACCTGGGAAGAAGGCCATTTCTTCCAAGCTGATTTTCAAGCACAAGTACGGACCTGATGGGGCGCTAACCCACTACAAGTCAAGGCTTGTGGCTAAGGGGTTTCAACAGACAAAGGGGAAGGGTTTTGACGAGATCTTTGCTAATGTGAGGAAAGGCACAACACTGTGGGTATCATTGGCAATGGCAGCAAACCGTGGATGGCGGGTGAAGCAAATGGACATTACCATCGCCTTCCTCAATGGGATCATTCTTGAGGAGCTGTACATGTTACAGCCTGAGGGATTGGATGATGGGAGCGGCAGGGTGTGCATGCTGAAGAAGGCCATCTATGGCCTGAAGCTGGCTCCTCGCGCATGGTACCACAAGCTTGAGGAGACACTGCTGGCTGGGGGGTTCAAGAAGAGCGAGTGTGATCACAGCTTGTTCCTGTCGCGAGAGAAGGAGCAGTTTCTTATGCTCCTGGTGTATGTGGACGACATCTTGCTCTTCTCTGAGTAGTCTGCAATGAGTGAGCGTGTGGAGGAGATGCTGGAGATGCAGTTTAAGTGCTCCAAGATGGGAGATGTGAAGTACTGTTTGGGGATGCATGTGGAGAGGGACCTTGACAAGGGAGTGTTGAGGTTGCACTAGAGGAAGTATTGTGAGGGGCTGGCTGATAAGTAAGGGCTGCAAGATGGAGGAAAGCCAGCCACCCCACTGCCTTCGGGGTTCAATGTGGAGCCCTGTGCTGATGAGGAGGTGGCGGATGAGAGTGATAGGAAGCTTTTTCACTCCATGGTTGGGGCACTCAACTATGCGGCTAACCACACGCGGCCTGAAATTGCCTTCGCAACATCCAGGCTTGCCAGTGTGGTTTCACGACCCAGTCACGAGCAGCTGGAAGCGGCCAAGAGGTTGGTCCGCTATGTGAGTGCAACGGCATCAGTGGGTTTGGAGTACAGTGCTGTGAGGGAAAGGCTGCAGAGGGGTGCAGCTGATTTGAGTAAGGGGGAGATGCTCCTGACCTACTACACTGACGCTGGCTTCAACTCTGTGAAAACGGACGGCACCAGCACTGGAGGCTATGTGTGCCTGTTTGGAGGTGGTGCAGTGAGCTGGCGCAGTAAGAAGCAGAATGAGGTGGGGCAGTCCTCGTGTGAGACAGAGTACATGGCCCTACATCATGGGGCAAAGGAGGTGGTGTGGCTGAGGCGTTTGTTGGAGGAGATTGGAGTTGGTCAGAGGGAGCCAACAATCATGTTCTGTGACAATGAGTCGGCAGTGAAGCTTGCTAAGAACGCCTGCATTTACGGGCTGACAAAGCACATCAGGCCCAAGTGGCACTGGGTGAGGAGGCTCCTGGACAAGGAGGTGCGACTGGAAATTGTATAGACCCATCAGCAGGCGGCTGACATTCTCACCAAGCGCCTGGCAGAATCTGAGCAATGGAAGGGCATGAAGCTTGCTGGGATGAGTGTGCATTGAGGGTGCATGATTGAGCTATGGCATGTGGGATGATGGTAGGCAGCAAGAGGGGGAGTTTGTTATGTGATGCTATCACTTGCATTCACGTCTGTCTGCCTCCGATCACAAATTCGTGCATTGCATGCGTGGTGTGAGCGTGTGCAAGAATTGTGTTTGATGTGGTTTGATTTTTCTGAGTGTGTGTGAATGTTATTTGGCTTGAGCAGATATCTGAAGTGACTCCTCTGCTCAAGAGCTTTCCAACGAACCAAGTATCCCTTCAATCGGAGCACGAACAAGAAAGTAACAAACGTTGGAAGTTCGTATGCTTTTTATATTTGGTTGTGGTGACTATGGGAAGTTGTGGGGTTGACTCCATAAGGGGTATAGACTTTTGGGGGTTGGAAAATTCGTCAACATCACTGTAGATGCTGTCAAGTGGTTGGGAGGAGCCAAACCAGGTTGGCAAGTGTGGCCAAGTTGGGCAAGGTGGATGGCATGTGTTCGAAAGTG